CAATGGGAGTTGAAAGGTTGCATTTTTTGTATGCCGGGGGCTGTGCAAGCCAAATATTTATTTTGCAGTCTGGCAACCTGACAGTTATTTCTGCATGAAAATGAGTTTAGAAAAGTGAAAGTACAACCTCTGTTTTAGCTCTTGTGATGCTAGTACAGTACAATGCTGTAGAACAAGTGCCATCTCAGCTTCAGGTGTGCATTATGCTGGGCATGTCAACTGCCTTCTCTCAGTCTAAGCTTCTCCATCTCTAAAATGGGGACAAAGAGTCTCTGGTTTGAGAGGGGGCTGCAGAATGTTTAAAAGGAAGCCAGAAATTGTCCCTAATTGCCAGGGCTTTCTGCAGAAGCTAGTTGAAGAGAGAAAAACTTTTCTTTCTGTAAAGGTGTATGGTAATATCGGCGCTTAATACATGTAAAAAGCAGAGCCCCAGCAGGGTTAGCTCCCGAGCTTGCTTCCTGCTTATCGACTAGTCGATGGAAAATCTGTCAATTAGTTGATTAAACTAAATTTAACATCCCTAATTGGGGCTGCTGTAGACAAGATTCTTAGCATTATTTGTTCCATTTTTTTTTAAAGGAGAAAACTTAAATTGAGGAGGGAAGAGAAGAGAGAGAAGGAAATGGAAGGATTGTGTATTTTCACAGTAAAAGTCATCCCTCAATTTTTGTTATACACCCAAAAGCCAGAGGATTTTGTCCAGCTCTCCTGTCCCCCTCTGTGAGAGAGCCATAAAGTCAGCTTCTCATTCTGCCCTAGGCAAAACAGGCATTCCAAACAAAGCACTGAGCTTCTTTCACCTGTACAGCTGCTCGTGTGCACTTGCAGCAGCTGTCCCAAGTGCTCTGCCAGTGGTGGCTGTATCATTCACTTGTAGCACCTGGGATGATGTCTGCCATTCAGACTTGGCTGAACAGATACAGTTTTAAATGGGGTTCAGCCAGTCCCCAGAATCCCATTTCTGGGAATGCAGTGCCACATGTTTGGAAATTACACAAAAGCCCCTATTCTCAGCAGCACTGCATGGCAATAAGGAGTGGCTTCGAGATGTGCTATGCCACCAGAATAAAGGGAACTGTTACAGGGACATCAGAAGTCCCCCTGGTCTTTCTCCTCTTCCTTCTCCGTTGTCTCCAGTCCCCTCTCCACTCATTCCTTTTCCTTGCTGCTCACCTCCCTTCCCCCGCATTCCCCCATTTATGGATTTGGACACAGGCAGCAGTTCTAGTGACTAGCATCCAGGTACTGGCCCTCTCCCACCCAGCGCCCATGGCTGCCTGCTCGAAGGTAGCGAGGAAGGCATCTGGATCATCCGCCAGGCTCATTTTACAGAGTTCCCAGCTCGGTGGCCAGATGCCGTCCCCTCCCACGGGACAAACCACTTCTTGGAATTGCTGCTGTATGCCAGTCTGCTCCTGTGTGAGCGCTGCAGGCTGTGTGGTTGCTCTGCTTGCCAGGTCGGTAAGGCCGGTGTCTCAGCCTGGTGGGACTGTTGCATCTGTTCCTGGTGCTTAACAAGCCATTATAGGGTTTCCTCTATATCGGAGCCACCAGCCACATCTGCTGGCTCCAATCCCAAACAAGCCCCGAAGTGTAACAGGGACAAAATGGACCCCTCAGGATTCTACCCCACCCGTGTCCATAGATCAGCCAGAGTCCTCTTCTGTGTTGTCATCAGCATGCTTTTTGTTGAATGGGACCGTTGCCACCACTTTCTATATAGAGGTTCAGACCTGTAGCCCTATGGAGCATTAGTTTTCACAGCTAGCAGAGAACCAAAACCCTTTGCTCTTCTCTTTTCTCTCTCCCCCTTCCTTTCTGTCAGCCAATCTTATGTAGCCCCCTGGTTAATGAGGCCAGCAGCTACTTCCCATTATTAGTTAGAGGTTGGGCTGCCTCAGCCAGCTCCAGTTAACCTTTCTCATTGGAGCTGGTGTGACAGGGTCCAATTCGGGGTTTCCCAGCCAGGACTAGGGATGTTAAATTTCAATTAATTGGCTAATTGAATAGTTGATGCAAATTGCATCGAGTGTTAGATTAGACAATAAGGGCGCCTCCGCCTTTGAAGTGTAGCAGGGCTGTTGCTACACTTCAAAGGGGAGCATGGGGCCATTGAGGGACTCAAGCAGCTGACCCAAGGCTCCACGCGGCGTTGCCACTTTGAAACGCCGCATGCAGCCTGGGCAGAGCTGTGTGGAGCTGTGTGCCCTTGGCAATTATGCCCTCTATCATAAAGCATTCCTTTAGGGAGAATTAAATTAATAGTTTCCCCAGTTTACAAAACACTCTCATTTTGCTTAAAATGTCTTTTAAAGGGTTATTCCTCTCTGGTTTGAGAAATTTCCATCCTTCCTCTTTCACAATGTAAGAAGTCTCAGGAAGCTTCTAGTGTGTTCTACAGTACATATTGCCCCTTGTGTAGGATACATGCTGATCTGGTATTGTACAGATGCTCATGACTGAAAGTGGCCAATGGAAAGTCCCCTATATGGCCAGTACATCAGTTGCACAGAACTGATTAGGGAATTGCCTTACTGAAAATGTCTCAAACTCAAGTCTTCCCCTAGGTGCTAAATCCATGGCAAGTCTGAAATATAAAAATCATTAGTGACTTAAGAAAACACAAAAGACAACATGATTTTCTTTTTTAAGGTGATATTCAGTGGACTTTTTTAGAAAATGAACTTCTCTTGTTTTCCTTCATTACCATATAGTAAAAAAACAAGCTGCTGGTTTCTAATTAGAGGTTGGGGCGAACTGCAAATTTTAAGCACGATCAAGGCTTTCCTAGAAGTTTGGTGTGTACAGATCCACGGCTTTGGTTCAGGCTCAGTTTTTGCTCTAACCTGTTGGAAGGTACTTCTTTGTTAAGTTTCAAAACAAAACAAAACCCACACACCACCAGGTCATTGTGCTTTTAGACTGGGTTTCACCTTCAAGACCATGATCCTGGAAAGTGGACCAATGTGGAGTGAGGTTCCAGTTTACAGCTGCCACTCACCTTTGTCTGTGTATCTGTTAACCATCATATCCACTCACCCACTAAAATCCTGCAAGGACAAGTCATAGATATATTTTTAAAACAATCATGGAATTGGTGACTGCTATGCCCGAAAGATTCACCTTTGTACTTTTAATCTTCTGAGCTGCACAATCTCTATGGATCCATTTTTTAAAAAGCAAGAACATGCTTGTTTTCAATTTAAATAAATTAATAACTTCACATGTATTAAAACATCCTTCTATAAAGGGTAGAGAGTGAGTGAAAGGCATTGACCCATTTCTGGGATTAATACAATTAGACTTTTGTTTCTTACCTGACAGTACACTTGATATATAGACACACACACACACACACACACACACACACACACACACACACACACACACACACACACACACACACACACCCCCTTACACCTTGTGACCCAGTCTGTTCTGGAAATCAAACCATTTTAGTAAGAACACGTCTTTGAACATGGCTCTTGCTAGCAAGACAGTAAAATGGCTTTCTTTGCCAATGTAGAGGGAGGTGCTGTTTTGCTAAAACTAGCTGTTGACTGGTCAATAGCTGACACTGTTTGAAGTCTAGTGCACACAAAGCCTCGTTATCCACCCACTATTGTAAAATTGTTTTAGAAAATTATGGAAAGCGGCACATCTCTCACAATGTCTTGTGTAGAAGCGAAGAGAGCTTAATTTCATACTTGTTGTTACACTAGAGAACATAATTCTGCTTTGCCTAGGGCAGGTCTACACTGTGGGGGAAGGTTGGCTTAAGGTACGCAATTCTAGCTATGCAAATAAGGTAGCTGGAGTTGACGTACCTGAAGCCAAGCAAGGGCGCCATCCTCACTGCGGGAGGTCGATGGGAGAAACGCTTCTGTCGACTTTCCTTACTCCTCGCGACAGCAAGGCATACTAGCATCGATGGGGGTGACCTTAGCTATGCAAATAAGGTAGCTGGAGTTGACGTACCTGAAGCCAAGCAAGGGCGCCATCCTCACTGCGGGAGGTCGATGGGAGAAACGCTTCTGTCGACTTTCCTTACTCCTCGCGACAGCAAGGCATACTAGCATCGATGGGGGTGACCTCAGCATTCAATTTAGCGTGCCCCGCTAGACTCATTAAATTGAACGCTGGAAGATTGACCGACCTAGTGTCAGTCTTCCTGGCAATGTAGACAGTACTCTTTATCTCAAAATGAGCTATGCAATGTGTGTAGTGCAAATTGCATGGATTATTTTGAGGTAATTTCGAAATGGCTTATTTAGAAATTTAGCACTGTCTGCACAGCGCCAAATTTTGAAATAAAGTGCTATTCCGACCTGTTCCTTAACCCTCGTGGAATGAGTGTTACAGGGACACTGGAATAATGTGCCTGATATTTCGAAATAACAGGCACATTTAAAGATGCAGAATTGCTGTTTTGGGATACTTCTGGTATCCCAAAATAGCCCCAGTGTTTAGACGTCGTAGCCTTAGTAATTAGAGATCATCTGTCCAGTTTCTCAGCCAACAGGAAGTTATACTGTTCATTGACAGTTCACTTATACAGTTGCTTCTCCTAGGCATAGTGCTAATATGTCTTAGGCCAGCAGTGCCTATGCAAATGAGGCTCAGATTAGCATTTTGCCCTGCTTCATTTGCATAATTTATTCAAGGGGGTTTTGCACAGAAATGGCTTGACTAAATTATGCAAATGAAGCACAGCAAAATGCTAATCTGCACTTCATTTGCATAGGCATTGCCAGTAGATGTGCTTACAGGTAAACACGTAGGCTACTGTTCTATCCTATTTATTCAGGCAGACAAGAGACCCAAGATTGTTTTAAAGGGTCAGTGACCCTGAGGTATTCCGGATTTGCCACAAGTTTCTGTGCAAATAAATGTGGCATCTTTCTGGATAGGTTTCTGGTCTCAACTGTGAGATGGGTCACTAGAAGTTTTCATCTTAATTAATACCACTGTCCTTCCTCCCCCTTCTTTCTCTCCTGCAGAGCTGGGAAGGCTTTGGGGTTGTTGTCTGGGTCTCAGGGCAGAGCCTGCTGGAGGCACTGGAAGTGGATTGGTTCCTGGTCATGCCCGGTGGAAGGAGGGGACCCAGTCGGCAGCAGCTAAGCCGTTCAGCTTTGCCTTCTCTCCAGACTTTGGTTGGCGGGAGCTGTGGCAACGGCACTGGTCTGAGAAACAGGTAAGGAGAAAGCAGTATGGCCAGCAAGACACGGTGATACAATGAGGAAGTGTTATCTAATGGTCAGAGCAGAAGCCTGGAAACCAGGAACCCTGGGTTCTGTTCTGTGAAGCAGTGTTACCTGGTGGCTGAAGCTGCAAATTGGTAGCCCAGAACCTTGAGTTCTGTTCAGTGACACTGGGAGGGAATTTGTCTTGTGGTTAGAGCATAAGCTGGGACCCAGAACGGCTGCATTTTATTCTTGGCTCTCAGAAGGACTGTGGTCTGGTGGTTAGAAGCGTATTCCTAGGTTGTCCCTTTGGCCGTGCCATTGACGCACCCATTTCCCCTAGCACTTTGCAGTACTAGCCCATTCCACTCTGTTCTCTGCAGTGCCACTGGGAAATCCCTGTACTGTGTCAGAGCATAGGTGTGGATCCTCCTCTGCTGCAGGGCAGGAAGAAAGCTAGAACAGAATTGTGTGTAAGGAGAGAGAGAGACTAGGAAGGCAGGGTTCTTATCTATTTTCCCCCGCAAAGATTGGGGGCTGTGAATCATGAGTGTGCCAGGGAAGCCATTTGCTCATGGAAGAACCCTGATATTCTTGGCCTCAGCCTGGACTTCCTCTCTTTATGCCTCAATTCTCTTCTGTAAAATGGTTACAATATTGCTGACCTCCTGGAGAAGTTGAGACACATAACCTTGTTGTCTGTGGAAGAAGCCAGGGAAGGGTGTCAAAGGTGTTAAAATAAGCAGGGAGCATCTGCTTGCCCAATGCTAGATGTGCGAATGACGCAAATTCCAGTCAGCGGCGTTCTGCTTTGCTTAATCCCAGGACCCCACACCATTCAGTAATGATCCCAAAACCATAGGAGACAGTTTGAGGCAGCAGAAGATGCTGAGCCTGCAATTAATGGCCTCTGTCTGTTTCAGGAACGGTAGTGCAATCAGCCTCTCAGCTCCTCCCATCACAGCCCTGATCACCCCAGAGCCTGTGCGTCACTGCCGGATCCCTGACCTGCCACTGGACGGGAGCCTTCTCTTCGAATTCCTCTTCTTCATTTACCTGCTAGTGGCCCTCTTTATTCAGTACATCAATATCTACAAGACAGTCTGGTGGTATCCCTACAATCACCCTGCCTCCTGCACCTCTCTGGTGAGTTCCCCATCCTCCCAGAACCCATGTCTCATCTTCTCCTCACCTTCTCCTTCAATCCCAGGGATCATCAAGCATTTGACATAAATGAGTGAAAAAAGCCTCATATTTTTTCTGATAGTCTGGGAGGGCTGTAGCAGCCCCATTTTACAGGTGAGGAGGTGGGATGTAGAGAGATGAAGAGACTTAGTCCCTTTGTTGACCGCAAGGTCCCTTAGCGGAGACTGTAGATGAAAATGTTGATCTGATATTTACCAGTTCTAGTGCACGCCTTGGTTTTGGAATAGAGCAAAGGGTCTGTTAGACTCCTGGCTCCCGGGGTGGCACCTCTTATGAGTGGAAATCAACGAAGACCAACCGAAACCAATTGAAGAAGATAGCAGGAATTTCTGTGAGAATCACACGGCAAATCAGCTGTAGAGTTGGGAATAGATGCGGGAGACAAACACTCTCACTGATATACAACAGCTATCTCCAGTGTATTCGGCTCATCAGAGCTTTAAGCACTGACAACCCTGCTGAGTTAGACTGGGTTGGTCCAGCAGGTTGTGCATCCTGGCTTGGGTAGTGACTTATACCTGATGTTTCCAAGGAAGACAAACCTCCTTAGAACACACCTCTCCAGTTAAGCAGCACTGCACATGGGCTTTTGATTTGACTTAATATTCATACCTGTAAGCGTTATTGGCAGTGAAATTGTCTGTTTGTTTGAAATTCAGCTATAGGACAGGCCTGATCTGCTCTTCTCTGTGACGAATGTTTTGTCTTAAACCCTTTTTGTAAAATCTATCTTAGTTATCTCATCTCTGCTCCTTTCAGAAGTGGGCACGTAAAATCCTGTTTAATTAGTTAACCGGTTAAACTTTGTTTAACCAGTTAACCAATTAAATGGGGGCCAGCAGGTTGGAGTGTTCCCCCTGCTATCGGCTGGACTGCTCCTGTTGAATTGGAGCGACCTTCCCTGTGGCACGCTGGGCCAAGACCACTGTGGGCGGGCTCTGCTTTGGCCAGGTTGCGGCACCCTCTGCCCGCAGCAGGCTCTGCGGGACTGGAGCAGCCCCCTGCCTTCGGCGAGCAGGGGGCTGCTCCAGCCTCCACCAATTAAACGTAACCACTAAGCCTCATGCGTTAAGGGTGAAGTTTACTAGTGAACCATTCACATCCCTACTCAGAAGCCAAATGTTCTCATTCCTTCTGGTCAGAGGCATCCAGGCTTTGCCAGTTTCACAGCTGTACTGGCAGCTTCCCAGGAGCCCAAGGGTTGTATCTAATTTGACACGACTGCAGCTATTGTTAACTTTACTACAGAGCTGTGGCCTGTGGAGATGACAATTCTCAAATCAAGCTGGTGGGGGTGGGAAGATTGTTGTCATGAAGCCTGAGGCAATATGGTCTATTGGCTTAAAGGCTGGAGTCAGGGAACCTGGGTCCTAATCCCAGTCCTGATACTGCTTGACTGTGTGACGTCAGGCAAGTTACTTAGGTATCACTGGTCCCTTCTCGTGGTGAAATCCTTTTATTTCCCCTCCTTTAGAATTTTCACCTCATTGATTACCACCTGGCGGCATTCATCACAGTGATGCTGGCGCGGAGGCTGGTGTGGGCCCTCATCTCCGAGGTAACATTCTGCAGTTGTTTCCTCTACCACAGCTAGATACCGGTCCTAGAGAGGCCTTTATTGAGCTGAGTGATCTTCTGTGTCGGGAGGAACATCCCAAATATCCATCATCTCAGTACAGATGTGAGGGGCTGAGCACACGGCTTTGATGGTGTCTGAGGAGCTTCCCCTCTTTCTCTGGGCTGCTCCCTGGCTTAAACCTGCCTTGCAGCTCTCCGGAGCAACCTGGCCTTTATGTTCTTTGGAGGAGTCATCTGACTGTAGGCATTGTGGGAAGAGCAGCTAAGGAAATGGCAATAATTGAGTTGGCAGGCAGTGAAGGAGAGAATAGATTGTTCAGCCACAGCTAAATTCTGATGATGTTCTGGAGAGTGAAATAGGAGATTTCCGGACAAGGGAAATGTCAGAGATTTAGGGGGAGTTCAAGGTCATGGCTAATTCCAAGTTGGGTACAAAATAAAGGCTGAGAAGTTACTGAACTAGGAAGCGTGAGTAGCTGATAGAACTGCTCTTCTTCAGCTCCTATTGCTTTTCATAAGTCTAAGAGGGGCTTTGTGATTCTGCCCTCTGAGCTCAACACTTCTTGATTTCATTGAGAATTGCATCTTGTGTATGTGAGGGCAGAAGTGGGTTCAAGTTAGAACTGGAAAAGATCACTTGGGCTGCCAACAGTGACCTCCCGTGTTCATATGAAAAGACAAGTGGTGGAAGCTCTGTCCACAAGGAGAGTTAAAGCTAGGTCAGACAACGCACTAGAGAATGTATAGAAGGGAAAAATCCTGCTCTGTTCTGCTGGTGACAGGACTAAGTGGGACCTCAAAAGCTCATCTTGTCTCGCAGTTCTTCCATTTCCCCTTACTATATCATCCTCAGTAATGCCTCCCCTAGACTGCTCTTGGATTTCTATGACGATGGGGCCTTGAAACCCCTTGCTCAGACATTTCTTACATCGCCTGCTCAACTGCTGACTCCTAAGAATTTTTTTCTTAATATAGTCTGCCCTGGCAACTTTGGTGATTGCAAATAATTCCCTTACTGTAACTGTGAATGCATCTGACGAAGTGGGTCTTTGCCCACGAAAGCTTATGCTCCTACACTTCAGTTAGTCTATGAGGTGCCACAGGACTACTCGCCGCTTGTGAATGCATCTTCACCTTGCAAGACTGCAGCCTGCCCATTCGGTGGAGTAGGGGGAGAGAACGTTCAAAAGGCAATGTGTCTCATCATCACGGCGCAATAAAGGGCTAACAAAATATTTGTTTCCTGCTTTGCAGTTCAACTGTAGAAGGCCCTGTTCTGGGAATAACCTAGCACCCGTCACTTCCAGTGGGTTCAGGCGGGGCTCTTAACTAGTCACTATTATTATGGATTGTCCCAGCCAAAGAGCTATCAGCACCTCTCACTCTCATTGATGTAAGGGCATCTCTGTTCCTGAGGAAGAGGGCAGTAGTCACTTCACCTCCTGCAGGAGTCCTGTGGGGACCCTCTTTCTTCCCCCCCTTGCCTGCCGCACAGCTGTACACTGGCATCAGCATGACAGCACTGGTAATTCTTTTTTCTGGGTTTTGAATTTGCAGGCCTCCCAGGTGGGCGCAACGTCAGTGATTCACTACATGGCACTGATTATGGCGCGCCTGGTGCTGCTCACGCTGTGCGGTTGGGTGCTCTGCTGGACTCTGGTCAATCTCTTCCGCAGCCACTCTGTGCTCAACCTCCTCTTCTTGGGCTACCCGTGAGTAGCGTCCTGGCATCGGGGAAAGGACAGGGCCAGGAGCCCCGGTGGAGGTGGGAGATATGTGGCCTCAGCCATGCTGGGAACGTTGTCCAAGGAAGAGCTGCTGATGGGTGACCCATGTTGGAGGGGTGTGTGGCTAGAGGGGCTCCTGGCTTCTGAGCCCTGGTTGGGTCAGAGTGTGTGGGGGGAGGTGTCTGAAGGAGAAGGGGAGTCATTAGCTCGGGAGTCATGTAGAGGAGAGGTGGATGTACTCTTGGTAAGAAGTGGGTTTATTGAACCTCTAAAGGTTGTGGGTGGGCTCATGGGTCTCTTAACCAAGAATTTTAGAGGGAAGTATGAGCTAAACATTACAGGAAGAAGGGAGGAGACCATTGGGCCCTGAACTATGAGCACCAGACAGCACTAGTTTCTGTGGGGCATCTTCTTGTAGCATGCTTGTGTCAGTGTCAGCATATGGGCTCGTGTGTAGACAGCAGCCCTCTCACCCTGGTTTCCCTCCCCTGCTACAGGTTCGGTGTCTATGTTCCCCTGTGCTGCTTCCATCAAGACAGCAGAGCTCAGCCTCTCCCAACGGACTGCAGCTACCTGGTGCAGGATCAGATGGTGGACGATGGTACCTCAGGCGTTGGCAGCCTGGTCAAACCCAAAGACTTCCTCTCGCTCCTGCGGGAGTCCCTGAAAGAACAGTTCAATAACCCTACGGCCATCCCCACCCACAGTTGCCCCCTCTCCCCAGACCTCATCCGCAATGAGGTGGAGTGCCTGAAAGCGGACTTCAACCGCAGGATCAAGGAGGTTCTCTTCAACTCCCTCTTCAGTGCCTACTATGTGGCCTTCCTGCCGCTGTGCTTTGTGAAGGTACCTGTTGTCCAGCTTTGGCACCTCCCCCATCGCCGCTGCTTTCTCAGTTTTGCACAAAGTGGTTGACATGCCAGATTTCTGGTTAATCCCCTTTTCTCTGTCTCCCCTTTGGCAGCCTGGATGGTGGAGTGTGGCTGCATCTGGAATGCACTAGTACCGCTCCTGTTTGGCGGATAGGTATTGCCATACACGTGACGCACCTGTGGTCCCTCTCCCCCGTTTACTAACCCCTATCCTAGTCCCTGGACTGACAGATAAAATGTGATCGTGCCACAAATGGGCACCTGCTGCCACGTTCACCTCCTAAGTTTTGCCAAAAGTTGAGGTGTGCGTGTTCAGATCTGGGGGTTTGGTTCTGCCTGTGGTAGAACAGGGCCATCAGGGAAGTCTGGACCTGAACCAAAGATCCGACTTCCACTAGAAGTCTTGGTGGCAGGGCTGTATTTCGGTTCTCCAGTTTGCGCCAGGCTCAGTATCTATTGACCAGGAATATTGGGCCTTCCACAGCCAGCCCAATTTCTGTTGTCTGTTATGGAGTCACAGGAGCATCCCTGAGCTTGGCTGGTCATTAACCTGCTGTCACGAAGGGAAAGGGCTCCACAATCCATGGAGCGACCCTGGTCTATGTACACTCCATGGCTCAGTTACCCTTCCGGTAGCCGCTGCTGTGGGAGGAGATGCACAAGCGCATCACAAGCTGCAGCGTCCCCTGCCCTCTCTCCTCTAGGTCCAGGAGAAGGAACTCTGAGGTGTCTCCTAGGCGGTAACCCTCCGAACTCACTGGCCTGGCAGTGCATGCCTGTAAAGTCCGGAGTTGGTCTGCTGCTTGCACACACAGCATCCCTCTGTGCCCTCTGGTGTGACGTGCTAGCGGGGCTAACCTCTCACCTGGTCTCTTGCAGAGCACCCAGTACTACGACATGCGCTGGTCCTGCGAGCACCTCATCATGGTGTGGATCAGCGCCTTCGTTATGCTCACCACGCAGCTGCTGCCCCCCAAGTACTGCGACCTGCTGCACAGATCAGCCGCCCACCTGGGCAAATGGCAGAAGTTAGAGCATGGCTCCTACAGCAACGCTCCACAGCACATGTAAGTGCGGGCTGGCAGGGGTCTGTGCTGGGTTTAGAGTGAGGAAGCTTCTCCATTCTGCTGAGTTTTGCACGGAAAGGTCATGGCTGTTCTGCTCTGTCTGTGTTGCCAGGGCCAGCACTTCCCACCTCTGAGCACTGTCAGCTTCCTCCTGGCTGTGAGGACTTTCACTCTTACAACCATCGGGTGGTGGGATGTTTCATAACAGCTCCACTGACACTAATACAAAAATGTTCTTGTGCGGGGGGGTTCCATTTGGACTTGGTTGTGTTAATGGGTAAGATTAAGATTTTGGCAGTATTACAACCAGTAAACAGATATACAGGGAAGCTTGTGACCAGTCTGTGATTTTTACTAAAGATATTGGGGGAGGAGGGAGAGGCTGGTGAAGGATGACTGAAGCCCAAGGAGGTGGAGGGATAAAAGCTGAGCCCTGCTGTGGGGTGGCCCAGCACCACCCACCCCCAGTCCTGTGACCCCTCAGGGTTTCAGGGCCTGTGGAAATTCAGAGCTGTGAGGCGAGCAGCTGAGAACAGCAGGGGGCCCCAGTGGGTGAGAGTTTTCAGCCCTGCTGAGGTGGTAAATGTCACAGAGGTCTCTGGAAGTCACAATATTACCATCATTAATGAGGCTCTGCTTGGTTTTATTCCCGACTGTGTCTCAGACTGCCATGGATATCTTGTCACCTCTCTGTGCCTCTGTTTCCCTGGAGGGAATGATATTCACCTGCTTTGGGCAGGGGCACTGAAATTCTCTCCTCAGACTGGAGCTTTCGAGCTGAACTAGAAAATTCCACATCACCACCTGCTGCCTCTTTTAGGCTAATGGCACCGTGTCTTTCTTTTTCTCCTCAGCTGGTCAGAAAGTACCATTTGGCCACAGGGCGTGTTGGTGCGACACAGTCGATGCCTGTACAAGGCAGTGGGGCCTTATAATGTAGCAGTGCCTTCAGACGTCTCCCACGCCCGCTTTTATGCAAGTATCTCTTCTGATGTGTCATCCTGGAGTGGGAGGTGGCTGGGTGCGGAGGGGTGGAAGAGTTAAGCAGGGGATGAAACCCGCTGCAGCAGAACAGGTTGTGATGAGACTAAGTTGAATATTGGGCAGAAGAAATACATTAGATTATTTAATCCAACATAGCCGGCCCTACCTTCTTCTTAATTTCCTGCTCTTTTCTTTAGGGTCCTCTAATATTCTCTAGCGTACATTGCAGACTGGCATTAGATACAGAGGTCCACTGCTGCCATAAACACATTTTTTCAGATTCACAGCACTCTTGGGCTACGTCTATTCTGCAGCCTTCTTCCACAAAAGCTTATGCAAATGAAGCGCAGAATGTAATATTGACAGACTTCATTTGCATAATTAATTAGCAGCTGCTTTTGCGCAAGAGGCTTTTGCGCAAAAAGGAGCTGTGTAGATGGCTCCTTTTTTGTGCAAAAACCCCTCTTGCGCAAGAGCCATTCTTCCTCATTTTTTCAGGAAGAATGGCTCTTTGGCAAGAGGGTTTTTTGTGCAAAAGTGGCTGCTAATTATGCAAATGAAGCGAGGCAATATTCCACTAATTTGTATATGCTCATTTGCATAAGCTTTTGCCAAAGAAGGCTGCAGTGCAAACATAGCCATTGTGCCAAACCTCTTATTGAAACAATTGCAGGCTAGTGACTAGCAAAGAAGACAGTTGAAGAGGGTTAGGTTGCTTTGGGAGTCCCTAGAGGGCCAGCTTTCCTCCCTGTTAATTATAGGTCACCTTTCTTTTCTCTCTGGCCAGGTAGTTTTGTTTTAAATACGTGGCCTGCTGTAGTCTTGCAGATGTTTAATACTAGATGTGGCCTGGGGCCAGCTGCTGCTGAATGTAGTGAAAGAATTGACATTCAAAATGTTGTTCTGGTACTTTGAGAGCCTGGCTGGTGCAGCAGAGTGGAAGGGAGAGGTGGAGCCTGTTGTTTGTTGAAGTGTGCACCTGTCGGGAACCTGTGTTTAATAGTTCAGCTCCCCCAGGATGAAGTGGCTGCGTCCTAAATAGGCACTATTCTTTAATTGCAGCAAAAAGGCCAATGATTGAGCCGCAGAGAGCGACCTCTCCTGTCAGTCAGGGTTGCAAGAGAAGGGATTATAGCCCTGGAAAATCTCCTCTGGCTTGTTCCCTGAGGGGGGGGGTGATGACTTTCTGCTCAAAGCACTCTGCTAAAATGGAAGCAGTTTCAAGCCCACAGCAGCAGCATGTACCCCTTGGCTGTTCTCTAGAATGGCTTTAGCATTATGACCTGGCACAATGGCACACTCCAGAGCAAGCAACCCCAGAGCATGTTTCTGGGCTGCTGCCTAGCACATGATGTGGACGTTATAAATTATTTAATCCAATGCCCCAGGCCCTACAAATGCTACAGCTACACTCCTGCAGCTTCTTTGCCAGAGAAAACCACAAATACGCTGTTTTTCCTCTGCAGTTCCTCTTTCACCGCCCATTACGGCTGCTCAACCTGCTTATCCTCATCGAAGGCAGCGTGGTCTGCTACCAGCTGTACTCCCTGCTGCGCTCTGAGAAGTGGAACCACACCCTCTCCATGGCCCTCATCCTCTTCTGCAACTACTATGTCTTATTTAAGCTCCTCCGGGACCGGATAGTATTGGGCAGGGCCTACTCCTACCCCCTCAACAGCTACGGACTCAAGGCACATTAACCTGCCAAACGCACCCAAGGGGTGGGAGGGAAGGGAACCTCAAAAAAACTATTTTCGTACAGTTCTATTTTTTTCTTGCGCTGTTTATAAATATTTAAGATATTTTATATTTTGTATACTATTGTTTTTTTGGGATGGGAAGGGGGCAAGTGGCAATTAAATGTCGCTTTATAAACAAGGTGTTATTTTATATATAATCTATAAAATCAGTGTGTATATACCGTATATCTATATCCATACATACAGTTATGTGAAGCAACAGGCTTGTGCGTGTGGTCACTGTGTCTGCTTTGCTCACAGAATCGCACTGCCACCCTCTCTGATGTCCTCTCTTGTGGAGCAAAGGGACAGGGCAGGAGGAGTCTCCTACTAGGGAAAGGTGAACAGACCCTGTAGCAGAGACTAATCAACAAAGGGAACTAAAACCAGGGGACTTCCAGAGACATTGCTCTCACTGCTAAGTACAAGAGCCTTGCTCACAGGCATATGCTCCTCTGGGACATGCATGCCCTTTTAGTGACAGAGTGGAAAAGTATTTTGCTCTAGCCAGTCAATGGTGATGCCATGGCTTAACACAGAAGCTAGGACTAAATCCATAAAGGGAACTTAGCTTCAACATTGTGCTGCATAACAGTTAGCATCTGATGCCTAGTAGAATCCACAGCCTGGTGTTAGTGCCCAAGAATGGGATCCATGAGAACCAGCAAGCTGACATGGGAGCCATCACAAAGGAATGCAAACACCTCCCTTCTCATAAGGATTCATAACCAGGACCTTCTGCAGTGAGATTCCTCGCTCCTTACACAAAACACTGATAGTGGTGCTATATAACTTCAGCTAGGAGTAAGAGCACTCTTCTGAGATGTGGAAGGCCTCCTTCAGTACCACCTCCTGCCTGATAAGGAGCAGAGATTTGAACTCGCATCTCACAAGAACGGTCTGACCCCTGAGCTCTAGGATACTGAGACAAAGGTTTTTATCCATCCTCCCTGTTGATGCCATTTCACTTTGTCCAAATAACCGACAGGTCATTTAGGCCAAAGAGTGAGTGTGACTCTAGGGCTTAGCAAATAGACGTGGCAGCATTTGATTTTTATTCATTTCCCTTCCTAGTTTCACTGGATAATAGTGATGCTTACATTTGTAGAGTGGTGCAAAATTATGGGGTTGCCAGAATTATTTAGTAAGAGTTGCTCTTGATTCAGAAAGTTAACGCAGCATTGTTCACACAAATTACCACCACCACCTGTCAAAATATCCTTCTGTCAAACTCTCTAAGGTCAAGAGATTTTTCTTATTTTGCCTATCTGTAAATTAGTTACCATCACTGGACGTATTTTTGTCATTAGTCTCTGCGTGTTGAGTGAAATCAACATTTACCAATAAAAATCTAACCCTTCCAAGCCTATTAGTAAGGGAGAGCCATGCCTCTGGGTCTTGGAAGGCCCCAGTTCAAGTCCCTGTTCCTGTCTACCTACTGGATCAGATCCCACAATCTGGACTAGTAAGGTCATGCCTGATATGAAGATCCTTCCAGGGCTCTGGTGCCCAGACTGAGGTAGCTATGTACATGGCAGATTTTTAGATGCTGTGGGCATTGGACACCTACAGGGTTAGAGGCATCTTGAGTGGAGGTATCAAGAATCTAAAGTTTGGATTTTAAGTACTGTGATGGGGTGGACAGGGGGTAGCCCAGGCCCAGCTGGCTGAGAAGGCCCCGCCCCTCTGACCCTGCTGGGCATGCTCCCAGCAGAGGCTGGGTATAAAAGTAGAGGGAGCTCTGCAGTCAGGGAGACCGCAGGGTAAGGGGGTAGACCAGGCCGGGCCAGTGTTTCTGCAGCTGCTGAGACCAGAGTCACTGCCCGTGCCTGAACCTGACACATAGAGAAAGCAGCCGCCGACCTAGGGCGGCAGGAGCGCGCCCACAACCCTGGCAGGTACTGCCTCAGAGGCGAATGGGCCCCAGGGGAACCGGGGCATGGTAGGAAGCAGCCCAGGGCAAAGGATACAAAGTTTGGCTCGGCGTGTATCGGCCGGATTACCCACTGAGCCGGCAGGAGCCATAGGCCCTGCCTCAAGGGCCCTGGGCTGGGACCCAGTGGAGAAGGAGGGCCCGGGTCCCCCTACCACCCATTCCCCTTGCCCGGGATAATCAAACTCTGGGCCAGGAGAGGCTTCTCCAAGCAGCTAGATCTCTAGTACCGTATAGGCCCTGAGAGAGGGGCTGGGCCTTTTGAGACTTTGGGTACCATATATCCCCTGAGAGGGGGGCTGGGACCGAGACACGGGCCAGGAGAAGGGGGCCGCAGCCCGTGTCACAGGCATACCCCCTGACAAGTACCTAAAGTGGCAGACATCTGAATCAGTGTGGATCAGGCCTTTAGTCAGTGACAACTTGCACAGGCTCCTGTGTTTCCTTTTTTTCCTGAGAAGGGATTTGAGCCCTTCCAGCTACAAGGGTTTGATTTTTCTGTACAGAGCAAAAGAGCTTGGTTTTGAGAGGGGGCCAAACTCCAAGACATTCCAATGGCAGGAGTGGATTTTCAGCAGTTTAGGTTTCCTTCCCCTCACCCTGCTCTCAGAGTTGCTGCTGGCAGTTTATAACATGGTCTTTAGAAGGTTCCCATCACCGGCGTACCAGGACATACATTACGTGAATTAGAATTGCAACCAACACATTTCCAGCACTGGGCCCCACATCTCCTTCACAGCAACCTCTGGAGGGCACAGCCTCTGGTAACAAATCAACCACCACTGCAAATAGGGACCCTCATCTACAAAGAGCAGACATGGCAAAAAAAAAAGAGAGAACTTGTTTATTTGAGTGGAAACACATCACCCGTGACCCAATGCAGGAGACACAGGCAAAGTTTTCCTGTGCCTTTAGGCAAGATACATATATTTGTAGCCTCTCCGCAGAAGTGTCCTTTACCATACTATAATTAATGTTACAGCGAGGAAAGTGTTTATCAGCGTTAAGAAGGATGCTTTTCAGAGGAAGATATCGGAACTTAGTCATTTGGCTACATTGTTACAGTAAAGAAGAACTGCAAAGCATTCAGAAACACCCAACACTGCTTCAACATCTCTGTAACAGCAAACAATGCTAGCAACTAACAGTGGCAGCTGTTATTTCCCAGCTGGAATTGAAAGTGGATGAGAGAGTCCAGTACGGCCAATTCCATTTAGAAAATCATAATGGATTAAGAGTTTTGTGGTTGTTTTTAATAATTAAAAGATTCCCTTTGCCTTCTGCAGTGAAAATGCCACATTTCTGAGTCAGGGAAATAGCCTACTCTGGCATAGCAGAAGCTTCTGCAACAGTTGAAGTAAAGAAGCAGGATGCAGAAAGTGTTGGACAATGCAGGGAGTTTCCTTTTAAGTACCTCTGTGTCAGGTGTGTTATGTACGTAAGGCGTCAAATCTCTGGTCTCTCAGCTGGAAGCCGTATAACCTCCTCAGGATTGCTCTGATAAAGTGGC